TTTAAATTTTGTTACATACCATGTCTATTGTTTGTTTTTCTCCTCTATTCCCTATTTTTGATGAATTCAAAGGGGGAGAAATGATTAATTTTTGAATACTCACTAATCTATATATTCAAGTGACTTCTTCTGTAGAGATATTATTCAAAGAGGTGTTTGTCTTCATCAAATAGGGGGAGACTGAAAGTGATAAAGATCTTATTGAATCATTTGATGAAACGAAGATCTTGTTGATTTGATGAAGTCAAAGGTTACTTAGTTAAAAGGGTAGAGTGATTAGTGAGTTTGCATCTATACATAGGTATAATCATTCATATCTCTCTGCTGCATGAGGTTTCGTCATTTAAAAGATTTTGCAAATTCCTCTAAACGTGTTTAATCTGTTAAAAACCAAAGTAATCGATCAAATGCTTTTTAAGTAATTGTTTTAATTGATATTATATGATCTTTATTAGTTAAAATGTTCTTAACACTTACATAACAGGTTTTTAACTGATAGGTTTTCGAAATAATCGATTAATTTTAAAACATACACTGGAACTGTTTTAATCGATATATCTTCGAATTAATCGATTGTTTTCATTAAAGGAGTTTTTGAAAATCTTCTGTCAGTATTTTAACTGATGTAGATTCAAAATAATCGATTAAAATGATTTAAAATGTTTTGAAAAGTGTTCTTGCAGTATTTTAATTGATACAAACTTGAAATAATCGATTAAAATAACTTGAAGTGTTTTGAAATATGTTTTGTCAGTATTTTAATCGATGTAATCTCGAATTAATCGATTAAAACCACTTGAAAGGTTTTAAAAGAAGTTCTATCAGGATTTTAATCGATGTGTTATCGGTTAAAATCACTTAGAAAGTTTTATGAAAAAATTTGGCAGGATTTTAATCGATTAAAATGCAAATTAATCGATTAAAACAACTAAGAGATTTTTTCCAAAGTGTTTTAATCGATTAAAACAGACTGTTATCAGTTAAAATCACTTAGAAAGTTTTATGAAATTATTTGGCAGTATTTTAATGGATTAAAAGGCGAATTAATCGATTAAAACAACTTAGGGAATTTTTTACAAAGTGTTTTAATCGATTGAAACGATGTCACATAAGTTAAAACAAATCTGAAAAATGATCAAGAACATTTTAACAGATTAAAAGAAGTTTTAACAGATTAATTCAAGACTTTTAACAGATTAAAAGATTGTTTTAACAGATTAATTAAACCAGCAGTTAGAACAATTCTCTATATAAACAAGATTGCTTGAGTCTTTTAAAAATACCTTTGAGCAATTAATCAAGCAATCATAAGAGCTACTTTCAAGAAAGAATCACACAAGTTTTGTGAAGTTTTTCAAAGTTCTTTCTTGAGGAAATTTCTGCATTTCTTTTGTGAAGAAACTCATTATGCAGAGCTACATAATCCGGGTTTGAGTGTTCTAGTTTCTTCTCTTTGTTTCTTTTACATTTCATTACTATATTGTGAGTGTCTAGAAGTGTGGACACTGGTTTCTGTGGCTAGAATTTGGCTGCAGGATGGTTCAAGAACTGGAAGTTGGTTCTTGGTGAAGGTTTAGGTGCAAGAACTAGAATTTTCATTCTTGTGATAGATTGGGTGTGTGATTGGAATCTGTAAAACATTCAATCTAGTGGAACTCAGCTGGAATTTGGCTGAGAAATGGACGTAGTCCTGAGATTGGGTGAACCAGTATAAATCTTAGTTGTATCTCTCTAAACCTTTCTCTCTTTAATTCTGCTGTTGCCTTTATTTTAATTGTTTGTTTTGCTTGATTCAAGAATTGGTCAGAACTCTTAATCTTTGAAATAGATAATATGTAAATTGAGAAAATCTTTCAAAGATCAATTCACCCCCCCCCCCTCTTAATCTCAGCCTCCTTTTCTAACATGTAACATGTGTTGTTGTTAAACTTAATAATAATTTATTTTCTTTAAAACATAACTTTTTTAGTTTTGTTAAACCAGTTGCAAGAGTAATGAGACCAGATAGAAGATGGATGTTACAAAGAAATAATCAATTTGGCCTTATAACTGAAGAATTCAGAAATGGTGTTGATGATTTTATTCAAATAGCGACAAAAGACCGAAAATTTGATGATGTAGTAGGGCGTATTCCTTGCCCATGTGGAAAATGTAGAAATCGTTATTGAGATGTATCATTTAATGTGGAAAAATATTTTTATCACCATGAATTTATGGATGGTTACACAAATTGGATCCTTCATGGTGAGGAAAGATGGACCGATGATATATCAACTTCTGTCTTTCAAGAACTTAATGAGGATAATAAAAGTCCATATGTTGATATGGTTATGGATGTTGCTTATGTTAGATTAAATCCAAAAGTAGAAGAGGTGCAAGAGGACCCAAATCCATCAGTTAAAAAGTTTTTTAACTTATTAAAAGATGCTAATGAACCTTTATGGGATGGTTGTAAGAAGCATACAAATTTATCAGCCATAACACAACTGTTAAACCTGAAGTCAGAGTTTAACATGAGTGTTAATTGTTATGATCGAATGATTGCTATAATAAAAAATATGCTTCCAATTCAGAAAGGTTGCCTGAAAATTTGTATAGATGGAAGAGAATGGTTAATGAGTTAGGATTAGGATATGAAAAGATAGATGCATGTCCTAATCATTGCGTGCTATATTACAAAGAAAATAGTGACAAGAATGCTTTCTTGGTGTGTAAAGAACCACGATTTAAACCGAAGACATCTTTCAAAAATAAAGACGTGCCTTACTCAGTGTTGAGATATTTCCCCATTGTTCCAAGACTCCAACGCCTATTTATGTCTATTCATACTTCAAAATATATGTGTTGGCATGCAGATGGAGTGTGCCAAGATGAATCAATGATGACACATCCAGCTGATGCACAAGCTTGGAAAATATTCAATGAAACACATCCTGCATTTTCTCAAGATCCAAGAAATGTTAGATTTGGACTTTGTACATATGGTTTTAATCCATTCAGTAATTCAGGTAACCCATATTCATGTTGACCTATTTTTGTCACACCTTACAATCTTCCTCCAAGTATGTGTATGAAAAGGGAATTCATATTTCTTACTCTTGTGATTCCTGGACCCAAGTCACCTGGTAAAAGTTTAGATATTTATTTGGAACCTCTAATCGATGAGTTGAAAATCTTATGGAACATTGGGGTTAACACTTTTGATGCATTGAAAAGGAAAATTTTCATTATGAAAGCAACTTTAATGTGGACAATAAGTGATTTTCTAGCTTATGGAATGTTGTCTGGATGGAGTACTCATGGGAGATTAGCTTGTCCACATTGTATGGGGGATATTAAATCATTTAGATTGAATAATGGTGGTAAACCTTGTTGGTTTGATTGTCATCGTCGATTTTTTCCTATCAATCATCAATTTCGTCATGATCGATGCTCTTTTAAGAAGTTGGTAGTTGAGAACTCTTTACCACCACAAGAATTGAGTGGCATAGATGTATTAAATACAGTGACTCAACTTCATAAAATTACCTTTGGCTTAAAATCAGGCAAGCAAAAGCAACCCGACTTTGGTAAAACCCATAATTGGGTTAAGAAGAGTATATTTTGGGAATTACCTTATTAGTCTACTAATATAGATTGACATAATTTGGATGTTATGCATATTGAAAAAAATGTGTTTGACAACATCTTTAACTTTTGTATTAAACAATAAATTTATCTAATTTTTATTGGTGTAGAACAAGTATCGTTTTGCATCAACTTATGACAAAAGTATGGCAAGAAAGATTTGGAATCTGACATGCATGGATCGATATTCTGACTCTTTAGCTAAGGCAAGAAAAAAGGCAAAAGAGAAGGCAAATTCAGATAATATTCAAGACTTAAAGGTTTTTGGACCAAGAAGTATAAGGACTAAGATGTGGGTTGGATTAGTAGACATATGGGCAATAGTAAAATGGAAAAAGAAGTCCATTGCAGGTAAGGCCAATAGGGCTGCCAAGCCTGATGCCATGATGCACACAGGAGGATTAAGAAGCTTTGGACAACACTTGAAAAAAATGGTATTCATACTTTACACA